ACATCATATTGATGTCAATAGCTCTTGGAAATCTGAAACGGCTAATAAGCCAGTCATCATGGTGACGCTGAACGTCTGTGTTGTGTTTCTGTTTCAGGCTGTAATGGTGTGTGGCGTTCATTATGTGTGTGCGGGTCATTCTGGGATGTTTGTGCTGTGTTCTGAGCTCTGCTATCAATGCAGCTTAAAGACGCTTTAATTAAAGCTGGAGCTCTGAGTGTCCTGACATCTGGGCAGATCAACATATTACACACACACACACACACACACACAAACACTATACTGCTGACCTGTGTCCTTACTGCACCACTACAACAGCACACGCACACACACACACACAAACATCTGGACAGATCAACACTTTACACACACTCTCTACAGCTGCCCTGTGTCCTTACTGCACTGTTAAAATGCCAACACACACACACACTGACACACATGCATGTTCACACATACACACATGCACACACACGCATGTTTACAAATACATACATACATTACACACACACACACACACTCACACACTTGATGAGAGATTTGATGTCTCTCACTCTCACACACATGCACAGGTTTCTCTCTCTCTCTCTCTCTCTCACACACACACACAACACACACACTCATGCACACATCTCTATCTCTCACACACACTCATGCACACATCTCTATCTCTTTCAGACACACCGCCCTGAGCTGTTCTTACAGTACAGAAAAGTGTGTGATGTATTTTTTACAGTATGTAGTCAGCTCATCCTCTCAGCAATACACACACACACACACACACACACACACACACACACACACACTCACACACTCACACACACACACACACTCACACTGCGCTGCCTTCACTCTTCACACAACACTTCAAACCAGGAAAACCTGACTGTAAATTGTGTTCCTCTTCATTTATTTATTAATTTTGGGTGTTTATTTGTTTGAAGTGATCTTTTCTTTGTATATAGTCTATAGTTTATTTAGGCAGATCTTGAATGTCTGTAGTTTGTTTTAATGTATTTTTATACACATTCATTCATATTTTATAATATGTTTGAGCATTGAATATATATCAGTTTTATTTAGTGCCTGTTTATTTGTTTATTTATTTTTTAAATATTTATTTATTTATTTTCTAGATATTTATTTATTGACTTATTTATTTTTTTAGATTTTTATTTTATTTTCTTGATTTTTATTTAATTTTTAGATTTTTATTTATTTTCTAGATTTTAATTTATTTATTTTCTCAATTTTTATTTATTTATTCTCCAGATATTTATTTATTAATTTTCTAGATTTTTATTTCTTGACTTATTTATTTTTTTTAGATTTTTATTTTATTTTCTTGATTTTTATTTAATTTTTAGGTTTTTATTTATTTTCTAGATTTTAATTTATTTATTTTCTCAATTTTTATTTATTTATTCTCCAGATATTTATTTATTTATTTTCTAGATTTTTATTTATTTATTTTCTAGATATTTATTTATTTATTTTCTCGGTTTTTATTTATTTACTTATTTACTTTTTAGATTTTTATTTTCTCGATTTTTATTTATTTTTTTCTAGTTTTTTATTTATTTACTTAATTATTTTCTTGATTTTTTTCATTTATTTGTTTATTTATTTTCTAGATTTAAAAAAATATTTATTGTCTAGATTTTTATTTATTTACTTATTATATTTTTAATTTATTTTTTTGATTTCTTAAATTTATTTGTTTATTTCTTTTCTAGGTTTGTATTTATTTACTTATTTTTATTTTATTTTATTGATTTTTATTTATTAATTTTTCCGATTTTTAATTTATTTTCTCGATTTTTATTTATTTATTTGTTTTCTAGTTATTTATTTATTTACTTATTTTTTAGATTTTTATTTTATTTTCTCGATTTTTTTAATTGGTTATTTATTTTTTTTAGATTTATTTGTTTATTTATTTTCTAGATTTTTATTTTATTTATTTTCTAGATTTTTTTAATGAATTTGTTTGTTTATTTTCTAGATTATTTATTTATTTATTTATATTTATTTTCTAGATTTTTATTTGTTTTCTGGATTTTTATTTTTTTATTTTGTTTTATTTTGACTAGGTTTTGTAATCTCAGTAAATTTATTTCATATGTATTTTATTGTAATTAATTTGACCCAGGTTGGCTTGTGGCTGCTTTTACAATGAAGTTGTCAGTGAGTATAATGAAGTGTTACTGTGCATATGGTGTTCTGGAGAATGTTGGAGGATTTCATCTGAGTTTTCTTAAAGCTGATCTGAGTTTTTCTGGAATGTTTTGGCGATATTTCAAAGCTTCAATTAATCATTATTTATTCATTTACTGTACCACACTGAGCTTTGACTACCATGCCTGTATATTACTGTACTCCAGTCATGGTTGTTTCTGTGCTCCTGAGTGTACTCTAGTATGTTGTTGTAAAATACTTAATATTTTACACTGTTTGTATTATCTTGCCCTCGTGTGTGTGCATGCGCGCGCGCGCAATCTGCAGTCAGGGTGGATCTGGAATGCAGCTCTGCATTAATTTTCCCCCTATTATTGTATTAATTTCTCAGATTAATTGTGTATATTTGTGTAAAAGATCTTGCGCCATCCTGAACGTGCTTCATTCATTAATTCATCCTTTCATTTGTTGATTCTTTCATTCATTCATTCATTAATTCGTCCATTTATTCACTTGATTCATTCATTCATTCATTATTTAAATAATTAGTTGGTTTGTTTGTATATTCATTCATTTATTTGTTCTTTTTTTCATCCATTAATTCGTCTATTCAATCATTCGTTCTTTGATTAATTTGTACATGTATTCATTCATTCATATGTTCATTAAGTCGTTTATTTGTTCTTTCTGTTGTTAATTTATTAATTCGTTCATTCTTTGTTTCATTCATTAATTCCTACATTCATTAATTCATTTATTTGTTCATTCATTCATTCTTTGTTTCATTCATTAATTCATCCATTCATTCGTTCAATCATTTATTGATTCATTCGTTTGCCCATTTATTCATTTAATTCATTTGTTCATTCATTCATTTCTTCAAACATTAATTCGTTTATACATTTGTTTGTTCATTCATACATTTATTTATTCTTTGTTTATTTATTCATTCATTCGTTTTTTGGTTCATTTATTAATTAATTCATTAATTAATTTATTCATTTGTTCATTAATTCATTCGTTCTTTGTTTCAATCATTATTTCATCTATTCATTTGTTTAATCGATTGTTGATTCATTAATTCATTCATTTGTTCACTCATTCGATCTTAGTTTCATTCATTTATCCATTCATTCGTTCAATCATTTGTTGATTCAATAATTTGTTCATTCAATAATTCATCCATGTATTCATTAGTTCTTTCATTCATTCATTATTTCATCTATTCAGTCAATCTTTCTTTTGATCATTGATTCATTCATTCATTAATTTGTTCTTTCATTAATTTAATAATTTGGCCATTCTTGCATTCATCCATTCATTCGTTCAGTCATTTGTTAATTCATTAATTAATTCATTCATTTGTTCATTTATTCATTCGTTCGCTCATTTATTTGTTCATCTATTAATTCATTTATCTATTCGTTCATTTATTAATTTGTTCATTCATTCATTCATTAATCCATCCAGTCATTTGTTCAATCATTTGTTGATTCATTCGTTCTTTCATTAATTGGTTTGGTCATTATTTCATGTTCATTCGTTCAATCTTTCATTTGATCATTGATTCATTCATTCATTAATTTGTTCTTTCATTAATTTAATAATTTGGCCATTCTTGCATTCATTAATTCATCCATTCATTCGTTCAGTCATTTGTTAATTCATTAATTAATTAATTCATTTGTTCATTTATTCATTCGTTCGCTCATTTATTCATTTATCTATTCGTTCATTTATTAATTTGTTCATTCATTCATCCTTATAGTCATTCGTTCAATCATTTGTTGATTCATTCGTTCTTTCAGTAATTGGTTTGGTCATTATTTCATGTTCATTCGTTCAATCTTTCATGTGTTCGTTGATTCATTCATTCATCCATTCGCTCATTTATTGTTCATTCATTCATTTGTTCTTTCACTCATCCATGCATTAGTTCAATCATTTCATCTATTTATTCATTTAGTCATTCATTTGTTCATTCATCCATTCATCTATTAATTCGTTCTATCTTTCATTTGTTCGTCGAGTCATTCATTTATCCATTCGTTTGTTCATTCATTTGCTTTTTCATTCATTCATTCATTCATTCATTCATTCGTTTGTTCATTTACCTGACATAATTAAGCATTATTCTTCACCGTGTTCGCTTGTCTGATGTGCTCATTGATGCACCAAAAATATTTACAACAATTTATTCAAATGCCTGACCTGATACCATTTTGCTACTAAAGTATTTAGGAAAAGCCAAAAATACACGAGTCAAAACTATTGACTTTCTGCCAACAATCATTATAAGATTAAAATTGTCTTACATGAAGACATTTGTGTTCCTTCAGTTTACAGGTGTCAAGCTCAGTTCCTGGAGTTTCGCAGCTCTGCACAGTTTAGTTCCAACCCTAATTAAACACTCCAAGTATGTTGGAGCTGGATTGGATCTAAGCTGTACAGAGTCTGACACCCCTACTTTAATGGTTAATAATAATTTATATATGTAGCTTATAATAATGGGTTAATAACCAGGTTTCATGGTTAATAGTGAAGTAATCTAGAATTAAACACATCTGCAAGATTTTTTCCTCTACTTGAGCAGTTAGTCTATCAAACAGATCCATTTTGACATGATCATTCAACTTGTTTATTAACTATTGTTAATAATAAGGGATTAAACGGGTTCAGAAGAAGCAAATAAATAAATCATCCTTGTTTTAAACACAGTTGTCAGATTTTCCCCTCAATTTAAACATTAATTTAGTCAAGATGATGAACAGAGAGAAACACAGCTCACCAACATTGCCATCATCTGGCGAAAGACGGAACAACGCTCCATTTCACACATGATTCTCTTTAATTATAAAAGAACAGTATTCATTCATGATCAACAATCACACAGACTTGTATTCATGCATTATTATTATCATTATAATATATCTTTCCATTAGACTGACCTCTGATCAGACGATTTACAAAAACAAGAACATACAAATGACAGATAGATCTCCATATCTGCACAATAAACAGCTGCTGTCACGTCATTGGCTACAAACGGTGCATCGCAATCTACACACACGAACACTACGCACGTTTCATACAACTTTAATATTTGGACGGCGAGTTTTTTGCAGTTTTTCATCATGGACGCCCACAGTTCCGAGACTAATTTGCATACTTCATACGTAAACACGTACATTTAAAAAATAAATATCTTAACAAAAATAGCACAGGTCAAATATAACATCTACACATTACAGTACTTAAATTCTCCTGAGTCCCATGTATTTGGATTTTTTTTATTTCTTTTTCTTTTAAACAGGAAGAGCGTTTAGTGAGCGGATATTTATGTACAAAATGGAGAAAAGACATTGAAAGAAAGAAATTGCATAATGCATGAGTTTGTAAAATAATCAGTTAAAAAAAGCTCTAAGTGGACTATGAATCCATTTAGCACCATAAATGCATCGTAATGAACAGTTCGGGGATAAAAGATCAGCAAAATGTGTCTCCAAGGCACTTCAGAATCAGAACCAAAACAAACTGAATACATTGATTTCTGAAATATTGGCATGATTTATGAGAGTAGATTTTTTTTGTGTTGTAAAAAGTACATGAGCGTAAACATTGCACTTCACAGAAAGGTAAAAAATAAATAGTTTCCTGGTCCAACTCAGTACTCGTCTCGGATCCATCAGGTTTTGGAGAGGAAAAACGCAGCATAACAGAAGTGCAGCATCCAGACGCTGGAGGAACGGAGAGGAAACCTGTCCGGAAACAACCAGCGGTGCAGAGAACGAATCCATCACACACACCTCCACACAAACACACTGAGAGACAGAGGAGATGTGTTACTGACGCTGAACTAGGGCTGCACAATATATAGATTTAGCATCAATATTGAAATCTGAACATTTGCAATAGACAACATCTACATTGTGGAGTCAGAATTCTAGTTTACCAGAAGCCACAGAGTAAAACATTTGCATTGGTAATTTAATTAAACCGCTTACCCTTAAACCCAACTCTCTGTACAATCTGCATTTTTACATTTCTTAAATACTTCATTCTGTGTGATTTATGAGTCATTTTCTTCATGGATACGAAAAAAATAGAAGATGTGGCTGTCTGCTCACCTACAGTCGTTGCCTCCTACACTGATCACATACTTGTCGTCATAAGAAAAGCGGATGTTGGTCACATGAGCAGAATGACCGAAGTAACGTTTGTGTTTGGCCTGTGAACAAATGTGTTTATATGTTACAAAGTTAATAATAAAGGGTTAAAATTGTAAATAACAAGAGCCAATAATAAAGGGTTAATAACAAGTGAATATAAAGGGTTAATAACGAGATAATAATAAAGGGTTAACATGGTTAATAACAAGAGGTAAAAATAAAGGGTTAATAACAAGTGGTAATAATAAAGGGTTAACATGCTTAAAAACAAGAGCTAATAATAAAGGGTTAACATGTTTAATAACAAGAGCTAATAGTAAAGGGTTAACATGGTTAATAACAAGAGCTAATAATAAAGGGTTAACATGTTTAATAACAAGAGCTAATAGTAAAGGGTTAATAACAAGAGCGAATATAAAGGGTTAACATGGTTAATAACGAGGTAAAAATAAAAGGTTAACAACAAGAGCTAATAATAGGTTAATAACAAGTGGTAATAATAAAGGGTTAACATGGTTAATACCAAGAGGTAAAAATAAAGGGTTAATAACAAGAGCTAATAATAAAGGGTTAATAACAAGAGTGAATATAAAGGGTTAATAACAAGTGGTAATAATAAAGGGTTAATAACAAAGAGCTAATTTAAAAGGGTTAATAACAAGAGCTATTAATAAAGGGTTAACGTGGTTAATAACAAGAACTAATAAAGGGTTAACAAGAGCTAATAATAAAGGGTTAATAACAAGAGTCAATAATAAAGGGTTAATAAGAGCTAATAATAAAGGGTTAATAACAAGAGCTATTAATAAAGGGTTAACGTGGTTAATAACAAGAACTAATAAAGGGTTAACAAGAGCTAATAATAAAGGGTTAATAACAAGAGCCAATAATAAAGGGTTAATAAGAGCTAATAATAAAGGGTTAATAAGAGCTAATAATAAAGGGTTAATAAAAGCTAATGATAAAAGGTTAATAACAAGAGCTAATAAAGGGTTAAAAACAAAAGCTAATAATAAAGGGTTAACAAGAGCTAATAATAAAGGGTTAATAACAAGAGCAAATAATAAAGGGTTAATAACAAAAGCTAATAAAGGCTTAAAAACAAGAACTAACATTAAAGGGGTTAATAACAAGAGCTAATAATAAAGGGTTAACAACAATAGCTAATAATAAAGGGTTAATAACAAGAGCTAATAATAAAGGGTTAATAACAAGAGCTAATTATAAAGGGTTAATAACAAGAGCTAATTATAAAGGGTTAATAACAAGAGTGAATATAAAGGGTTAACGTGGTTAATAGCAAGAGCTAATAATGGGTTAACAAGAGCTAATAATAAAGGGTTAATAACAGGAGCCAATAATAAAGGGTTAATAAAAAGAGCTAATAATAAAGGGTTAATAAGAGCTGATAATAAAGGGTTAATAAAAGCTAATGATAAAGGGTTAACAAGAGCTGATAATAAAGTGTTAATAAAAGCTAATGATAAAGGGTTAATAGCAAGAGCAATGAATTATAAAGGGTTAATAACAAAAGCTAATAATAAATGGTTAATAAAAGCTAATAATAAGGGGTTAATAACAATAGTTAATAAAAGGTTAATAACAAGAGCAAATAATAAAGGGTTAATAACAAGCTTAAATAAAGGGTTAATAACAAGAGCAAATAATAAAGGGTTAAGATGGTTAACAATAGGGAAAAATTGTTATTAACCCTTTATTATTAACTCTCGTTATTAACCCTTTATTATTGGCTCTTGTTATTAACCCTTTATTATTAGCTCTTGTTATTAACCCTTTAATATTAGCTCATGTTATTAACCCTTTATTATTAGCTCTTGTTATTAACCCTTTATTATTAGCTCTTTCTATTACCCTTTTATTATTAGCTATTGTTATTAACCCTTTAATATTAACTCTTATTAACCCTTTATTAGCTCTTGTTATTAACCCTTTATAATTAGCTCTTGTTATTAGCCTTTTATTATTAGCACTTGTTATTAACCCTTTATTAGCTCTTGTTATTAACTCTTTATTACTAGCTCTTGTCATTAACCATGTTAACCCTTTATTGTTATTAGCTCTTGTTATTAACCATGTTAACCCTTTATTAGCAGCTCTTATTAACCATGTTAACCCTTTATTAGCTCTTGTTATTAACCACGTTAACGCTTTTATTATTAGCTCTTGTTATTAACCACGTTAACGCTTTTATTATTAGCTCTTGTTATTAACCACGTTAACCCTTTATTATTAGCTCTTGTTATTAACCACGTTAACCCTTTATTATTAGCTCTTGTTATTAACCACGTTAACCCTTTATTATTAGCTCTTGTTATTAACCACGTTAACCCTTTATTATTAGCTCTTGTTATTAACCACGTTAACCCTTTATTATTAGCTCTTGTTTTTAACAATGTTAACCCTTTATAATTAGCTCTTGTTATTAACTATGTTAACCCTTTTACAATTAGCTCTTGATTTTAACCATGTTATCCCTTTATTATTAGCACTTGTTATTAACCATGTTAACCCTTTAATATTAACACTTATTAACTGTTAGCCTTTTAATATTAGCACTTGTTATTACCCATTATTAGCCCTCACTATTAACCATGTTATCCCTTTTATTATTTGCACTTGTTATTAACTATGTTAACCCTTGAATTTTAGCCCTCATTATTTACCACGTTAACCCTTTATTGTTAACCCTTGTTATTAACCATGTATTTATTATTAGCTCTTGTTCATTCATTCATTTTCTTTTCGGCTTTGTCCCTTTATGAATCTGGGGTCACCACAGCGGATTGAACCGCCTTTTAGCTCTTGTTATTAACCATAATAATCCTTCATTATAAGCCTTTTTTATTAGCCATATTAGCCTTTTACTATTAGCCCTTGCTATTAACCATGTAAACCCTTTATTGTTAGCACTTGTTGTTAACCATTTTAACATGACTAATATTGAGATCTAATAATAAAGGTGTAACATGATGGATAACATGTTCAAAAAAGAGCTTAACATTGTTAATTTATAACAAGGGCTAATAATAACATGATTAATAACAAGTGACACCAATAAAGGGTTTACAATGTTGTCTAATGGCTGATAATAAAGGGCTTACATGGTTAATAACAACTGTTAGTATTGAAAGTTAACATGTTTAATAACAAGTGCTAATATTAAATGGGTAATGCGATTAATAATAAAGGTTAACATAGATATTAACAAGGACGAATAATAAAGGTTTAACATGATGGACAACATCTAATTTAAATGCATATAATAAAGGGTTAATATGGTGTATAATTAAGAATAAAAAGTGCTAACAATAATATGTGGTCACTAACAAGTGCTTATAAAAGGGTTGAGACGATTAATATTAAGAGCTAATATTAAATCATGTGTAATTAAAATATAACAAGGATTGTACAATATTAATACTGATTAATGATAAGGGGTAAATATGAATAAATTGGACTTACAAATTTCTCTGAGCAGGGAAAGTCGAAGAGTTTCACGAGCCCAAAATCATCTCCTGTGACGACGTTGATGCCAGCGTGAGACACACAGGCACAGTTGACATCTGCTTTCTCTGCGTTACGAGGCCAGATTCCCAACACCTCGTCCCCCAGAACACTGCAGAGCACAGACAGCTTTACCACTGAACACTAGCTATGCTTCCATCCAATATTGCATTAAAATACGTAATGCCAAGATGTACATACATTTTGAAAATGTGCACAATAATATGGCCACACTTTAAATATCATTAACTAATGAAAACTTTTTGTAATGTATTTACATGAAGTAATAATGAACACAACTTGTGCAGCGTTAACTGTACAGGTAACATAGTACAATAATTTACCATAGTTTAACATTTACTAATGTGTTATTAAAATCCAAATTCATGCTTGTTAACATTAGTTAATGCACCATGAGTCAACAAGAACTAAAAATGAATCACTTTATATCCTTTAACCAACATTAATGAAGTGGTCACAGTGCTTCAGTATCCTCTTCTTCTATTATTATTCCCTCTAGAACCATCTTGAACATCTGTCTGTGCTCACAAAGTGTGTCTCATGCCTCCAAAAGCCACCGCATTCATTGTGATTCGTCTTCTGAGACGAAACTCATTTGTTAGGGAAGAAAAACACCACAGTGGAAAATCTCAACACACTCAACTGCATTTCTCTGACGATTATTTGCTCCAGTTTATCAGGAAGTGCTGATTTTATTCTCTTTAGCTTGTCATTGGATGGAAACACTGCTTTACTCACAAATATTTTATGCAATATTCCAGTTTTGTGCATAAATCTAAGGCGAAACTTTGGATAGAAATACTGAAGCACTGCTGTTAGTGCTGGAGATCTCACTGCTTACCTGGTCCACGACGCCCATGTGATCCTGTCCATCAGAGCCTGATCTGAGACCAGTTTACCACTGGGAACCTCATGAATCTGACGCTTATATGAGCCCGTGGAGACCTGAACACACACACAAACACACAGTTTGTGTAGGAGCTGAATTATTGAAAGCTAATAAAAAAAGGCTTTACATTATTAATAACGAGAGCTAATAAAGGGTTAACACAGCTAATAATGAGGGCTAATAATAAAGGGTTAACATGGTCAAAAACAAGAGGTAATAATAAAAGGATAACATAGTCAATAACGAGAGCTAATAATAAAGTGTTAACATGGTTAATAATGAGCGCTAATAATAAAGAGTTAACATGGTCAATAACAAGGGCAAATAATTAAGGGATAACATGGTCAATAATGAGCGCTAATAATAAAGGGTTATTAATAAGAGCTAATAATAATGGGTTAACATGGTCAATAACAAGGGCTAATAATAAAGGGTTAACATGGTCAATAACGAGGGCTAATAATAAAGGGTTAACATGGTCAATAACGAGGGCTAATAATAAAGGGTTAACATGGTCAATAACGAGGGCTAATAATAAAGGGATAACATGGTTAATAATGAGCGCTAATAATAAAGGGTTATTAACAAGAGCTAGGGTTAACATGGTCAATAATGAGGGCTAATAAAGGGTTAACATGGTCAATAATGAGGGCTAATAAAGGGTTAACATGGTCAATAATGAGGGCTAATAATAAAGGGTTAACATGGTCAATAATGAGGGCTAATAAAGGGTTAACATGGTCAATAATGAGGGCTAATAATAAAGGGATAACATGGTCAATAACGAGGGCTAATAATAAAGGGTTAACATGGTCAATAATGAGGGCTAATAAAGGGTTAACATGGTCAATAATGAGGGCTAATAATAAAGGGTTAATAACAAGAGCTAATAATAAAGGGTCAACATGATTAATAACGAGGGCTAATATTAAAGAGTTAACATGGTCAATAAGTGCTGGAAATATGCTTGAATGTTTTAATTAAATAATTTCATTTAATACAGTACATGGTAGTAATTAAATGCTGGGCTTGAGATAAACATGTGGTATGTGGTAGTCAACATTTAAAATGGAAACCTTTTGTCAAAGTCTTATAACGTTTCCTTTTAGTGCTAAAATAGAGACCAAATGAATGATTTGCACCTCGATGTATTTGCTGTCGGCAGAGAAGTCTAGCTGGATGACGAACCCAGGAATATCTTTACAGTATCCGATGCGGTTGAGCGACGGGCCGAGAGTGAGATCGTAGAAATCCACAGCAGACTCCACCGAGCCGACGGCCAGCAGACGGTTATCAGAACTGAACCTGTGTGCAGAACTACAGTCATCATCATACAGTCTAGTTTTTTCATCACTGATTTCAATTGCAGATTTTTTACAATCATATTCTGCGATGTGTTTCAAAGTTAAAAAACAGAACTTTTATTTTGATAAAAAAAACAAGCTTTTATTTTGAAATGCTTCAATGTTGACGACCCAATTATTTTTTCATCACAGATTTTCCAATTTGATTTCCAATTCTTTTCATTTTATTTTAAATTACTTTTAATTCGTTTACTAAAGTCCTTCAGATTGTATAGTTTTAGCATATGACGCAAAAACAGAATGATTTGATTTCAGCTTTGTGAAATTACGCTACATAAAAACACCTTTAGAACACAAAAACAGTAGAGGGGGTGAATAAAAATGTAAATTCAGTCTTTTTAAAGCAGGTGGCGCTTACAGGAATGACTGTTTTATTGGTTAGTGCTGTAAACATAGCATCTGTGCTGAAATTTCACAGGAAATAATCATTCTGTCTGTGCTCCCAAAGAGCGTCTCATGCCTCCAAATGTTTCATCTTCGTCTTCTGAGGCGCGACTCATTTATTAGAGAAGAAAAAACAACACAGTGGCAAATCCCAATGAACGCAACTGCATTTCTTAGCATTATTTGCTCCAGTTTATCAATATTCAGTTTTGTACATGAATCTAATTCACATCTTTGGATGGGAAGAAAGCTAATGACTCATAACTGATCAATTATTTTCCAAAATTCAAGATTGTTGTGTTTAACGTTGACTGATTTCTGGTTTTCTTTTGTGCATGTGTATGTCGGTGTGTTTTCTGACCGTATGTCCTGGATGGCCACACTGCGGTCTCTCTTCTTGCCCCATACAGTCAGTGAATTGACCAGCAGCACGATGAACTCTCCATTCTCCATCCCAATAGACACCATTTCTCCATTCGGGCTGTACGCCGTGCACTTCGCCGGGTGACCCAGACTCACTTTATTCAAAAGTTTCTGAAAGACAAAAATAATGCACAGGACATTAATATGTGACCCCTGACCACAAAACTTTGTATTGATGTATGGCTCATTAGAACAATATTTGGCAGAGATACAACTATTTAAAAATCTGAAATCTGAGGGTGCAAAAAAAACTTTAATTTTGAGAAAATCCCTTTTAATTTTGTCTGAATAAAGTGCTTATATATAGTGGTACATTTATAATTTATCTTCCTGGAAAATTATATTTTTACTCAATATCTCCCATGTCACAGAAACAGCCTTCTTTCATCTGAGAAACATTGCTAAACTAAGAAGCACACTATCTATCGCAGATGCAGAGAAGCTAGCTCATGCTTTTATGACCTCTAGATTAGATTACTGTATCGCTCTGTTCACTGGTTGCCCAGTATCCTCTATTAATAAACTTCAGTTACTGCTAAATGCAGCTGCCAGAGTTATTATCCCACTTACACTGTCCACCAGTTAAGTTCTGTATTGATTATAAAATATTGCTTCTTACCCATAAAGCTTTAAATCATCTAGCTCCTGTTTATCTGACCAATCTTTTGTCTTGCTACAATTTAACTCGCTCGTTAAGATCTTAAAATTCAGGGCTTCTGGTTGTACCCAGAATAGCAAAGTCCACTAAAGGAGGTTGAGTGTTCTCATATATGGCTCCTAAACTCTGGATTGGTCTTTCTGAAAATGTCACAGGCTCAGACAGTTCAGTAAAGGAAATATCATCTGAAGACTATGGATTCCTCTGATAAATACTTTAATAATACTGTAACAAACTCAGGTAGCTTGACACATATTTTCTTTCGTAACATTATTTTACATTATTTCTTTACTAAGTAATGATTTATTTACTTTAGCTTTTCAAAAAAACTGTTTCATTTTATTTACAGGATTCTTTGTTGAATCCCACCGGCTCTTTAAGATCTGAAAACTCAGGGCTTCTGGTAATACCCAGAATAGCAAAGTCCACTAAAGGAGGTCGAGTCTTCTTATATATGGCTCCTAAACTCTGGATTAGTCTTCCTGAAAATGTCAGAGGCTCAGACAGTTCAGTAAAAGGAAATATCATCTGAACTTTTCTGAAGACTATGGATTCCTCTGATAAATACTTTATTAATAATTTAACAAACTCATGAAGTTTGATACATTGTTTTTTATAACAATCTTTTGCATATTTCTTTACTCTGTAATATTTTTTACTCACTTTTAATATATCAAAAATAGTTTGTTTCATTTTATTTACATGATTCTTTGTTGAATATATATACATGGCGGGATTACTGTAATGCTCTGTTCGCTGGTTGCTCAGCATCTTCTATTAATAAACTTCAACTAGTACAAAATACAGCTGCCAGAGTTCTTACCAGGTCTAGAAAATATGATCATATCACCCCAATTTTATCCTCCTTACACTGGCTGCCTGTTAAGTTTCATATTGAATTTTAAATATTGCTTCTTACCTATAAACCTTTAAATGATCTAGCTCCTGTTTATCTAACCAACTTTCTGTCTCGCTACAATCCAACCCGCTCTTAAAGATTTCAAAACTCAAGGCTTCTGGTAGTACCTAGAATAGCAAAGTCCACTAAAGGAGGTCGAGCCTTCTTATATATGGCTCCTAAACTCTGGTTTAGCCTTTCTGATCATATTCAAGGCTCAGATAGTTCAGTTAAAGAAAATATCATCTGTACTTTTCTGAAGACTATTGATCCCTCTGATAAATACTTTAATAAAAGCTTCAGATTCTTAATCTGTAACAATCTCACAAAGTTTTTTATTCACTTTAAGTATGTCAGAAAAACTGTTTCATTTTATTTAAAGGATTCTTTATCGAATATATAATTGAAAAGAAGTGCATCTCCTTAAATCAAACCGTGTGTAACATTATAAATCAGTTCATCACCTTATCTGCGAGGTCCCAGAAGCGGATGGTTCCATCATCGCTGGCTGAGATGAAGACGTCTTTGGAGGGATGTGTGGCCAGACCCCAGATCCGTCCCTGCGTGTGTCCGTTTATGATGGTGTTTGAGGCTGCGTTCTTCTCTCCCACCTCCATGATCTCTCCATCCTTCGTCCCCACCAGGATCTTCCCCTATATATCCAACAAAAGAGCATCTCATTACTGAACTCACACTTTTCTTTAACATATACTTGGATTCAGAGGCTGATAGCATAAATAAAATATGAATGAACACTCCTTTTTCTGCACGATTTTGCGGATGCACCGGACAATTTACTTATACTCCATCTTGCAAGGACTCAGTTAGGAAAGGAATGTTTACCTGTGAATGTACTACACAATCATGTTGCACTACTTGTTTTCTTCAACCTTTAATAACTCTTTTGCACAATATTGTTCTGTCTTATGTAAAAGTACTAGTACAGCCTGTCTTAGGTTATGTATGTGTATAGTTAACTATTCATAGTATATTAATATAGTCAGCATAGTTAGATTACTGCTCTGATATGTCATGTATAGGTTTAAAATAGCTCTTACGTCCAATGTTGTGTTTATATTAATGATTATGTTTATTTAGTTAGCACTGTGATCATGCGAGACACAACATTTTGTTCCGCTGTATGTCCACACATGTAGAGGAATAACAATAAATGCTACTGACGAATTTTATTTGACAACCGAAGGGACTGAGGAGTTGAATGTAAGTTTCAAGAGTTCACACTTAGCTGATGATTGATTATAAAGCTTGTTAGGCATGCTGTCACGAGAGAGAGAGAGTCCTGAGCTCATAAGATCCTCGAGCCTGGAGCTTCCTCCCGATTGCAAGACCAGAAGGGAGTTTGAGCTCATGTAGATCTGGAGAACTCCCCTGCTGTAGTAGCTAATGAAGAGATGGTGATAACTCTTAAGAGACAACTACTTACTAGGAGCATGTCTATGGTGCTGATTTGGATTAGTCAATTAACTTAAGTTGCATGTTTTTGGACGGAGGGAGGAATCTGGGGGAAACCCACGTGAGCACAGGGAGAACCTGTAAACTCTGCACAGAATAGTCGGCTGGCTTTCTAAGGACTAGAACCAGTGACGTTCTTGCTGTAAGGCAACAGTGCTAACCACTAGGCCACCGTGCCACCCATCTAGAAAAGGAGGAGGAATAGGGGTGGACGGGGGGATTCTTCAAAACGAAGATGTCTGTTATATTGAACTTAGGGTATTTATAGTGGCTTAGGAATCGTCTGATTGGTGAATCATGAATTGAATAATGTGGAACCGGCCACAAGCAATATAAAACTTCACTTACAAGTTCAGAAAATTTAAGAAGGTGCTTGCTCATTCAGTGCTTTAAAAACAATAAGTCAAATCTTGAACTGAATTCTAAAATTAACAGTAAACTACGGTGGCCGGGACGTGCAAAACAACTTTACAAAAGTGTGAAACACTTTTACAAAGCTCGAGACAAATTTACATTTTGAAAAACATGTTTACCTATAACCAGACACAATTACCTGGGAAAAACAATTTTACCAAGGACGAAACAAATTTTCATAGGTAAAAATATTTTTTAAAATGTAAATTTGTCTCGAGCTTCAGAATCTTAAACTGTAACAAACTCTAAAGTATGAGGATGGATTTTGGTGCCTGTTAAAAGTCTAGCTGCCAATATATATTGAGGGAGACCAATATATAGGGAATTACAATAGTCTAGTCTTGATGTGATAAAAGATTAAAGATTTACCTTTCCACATTCTGACTCCGCTGCCTGATTATTAAACTGTTTAAATAACTTTATTTAAATGCAAGTTCTACAAAATATGATCATATCACCCCAATTTTATCCTCCTTACACTGGCTGCCTGTTAAGTTCCGTATTGATGATAAAATATTGCTTCTTACCTATAAACCTTTAAATGATCTAGCTCCTGTTTATCTAACCAACCTTCTGTCTCGCTACAATCCAACCCGCTCTTAAAGATTTAAAAATTCAAGGCTTCTGGTAGTACCTAGAATAGCAAAGTCCACTAAAGGAGGTCGAGCCTTCTCATATATGGCTCCTAAACTCTGGTTTAGCCTTTCTGATCATATTCAAGGCTCAGATAGTTCAGTTACTTCACTTTTCTAAAGACTATTGATTCCTCTGATAAATACTTTAATAAAAGCTTCAGAATCCTAAACTGTAACAAACTCACAAAGTTTTTTATTTACTTTAAGTACATCAAAAAAAAAAACAGTTTGTTACATTTTATTTAATATATTTTTTTAATTTGTTTCGTCCTTGTTGAAATTGTCCACTATGTAATTGTGTCTGGTGATGGGTAAAAATGTTTTTCAAAATGTAAATTTGTCTCGAGCTTTGTAAAAGAGTTTCACACTCTGTGATGTTGTTTTGCACTTCCCGGCCACCGTAGGAAGCCAGTGAAGAGAGGCTGAAACTGGTGAAGTATGAGCATGGATTTCGGTGCCTGTTAAAAGTCTTCAATTTGAACCAACTGCAACCGTGCCAATGAATATTAAGGGAGACCAATATATAAGGAATTACAATAGTCTAGTCTTGATGTGATAAAAGATTAAAGATTTACCTTTTCACATTCTGACTCCACTGCCTGATTATTAAACTGTTTAAATAACTTTAATTAAATGAAATATTCTCAAGAATAAAACACGCTGTGTTCTTTGGTAGAGTGTACTTGCATTGTGATGATATTATATTGTCATTCTGGCATTATGTAATGAGTGGCGTAAAATAATATCGTTCATCGCGATGTATTTTGGTGCAATATATCGCATAATATAAAATAGATTTGGTGACAGGCCTACTTATTTATACCCGCTGTATCCACAGAGTTTTTTTTTGGTCAACATCACACACTGTCACTCAGCAGGGCTGTTTTTTTGATGCTCTGAAAATAAATGAGTGGTTTATAAACTGACCTTTCCTCTGCACACTGATCTGACGATCTCGACAGGAAGTCCAGTCTCCAGCTGAAACGCCCTGCATCTCTTCATTTCCTGATCCCACAGTTTCACCGCGCCGCCCTCTTTAGTCCTGAACACACATCATAATCACATTTATGAAGCGCAGAGAAAGAGAGCATGCTCAGAAAATAAGACATGCCGAATGATTGATATTTATTTATATAATTGTTTCAATATGACGCATTTGGGGCGTCACAGTGGTGCAGTAGGTAGTGCTGTCGCCTCACAGCAAGAAGGTTGCTGGTTCTAGCCTCGGCTGGGTCAGTTGGCATTTCTGTGTGGAGTTTGCATGTTCTCCCCGCATTCGTGTGGGTTTCCTCTGGGTGCTCCGATTCCCCCACAGTCCAAACACATGTGGTACAGGTGAATTGGGTAGGGTAAATTGTCCGTAGTGTGTGTGTGAATGAGAGTGTATGAGTGTTCCCCAGTGATGGGTTGCGGCTGGAAGGGCATCCGCTGCATAAAAACATATGCTGGATAATTTGGCGGTTCATTCCACTGTGGCGACCCCAGATTAATAGGGATTAAGCCAAAAAGAAAATGAATGAATGATGCATTTGACACTGCTTTAGTTTTGGAATATGAGACAATAGTTTTGCCTTTGAACAAAAAAAGGAAACCAGAGTTGTGAGATATAAAATGAGAATCAAGATAAAGTTTGTATTGCCAATTAATAAAATATATTCTGAATTTTGAAGGGAAAAAAGGAAGAATATAGGCATGGAATACTGTGGAAAAAGCTAAACAAACATATTAAAAAGATTCTTTAAAGGAAATAATTGAAAAAAAAAAGTTTCACCACCACCACCAGCAGCCTGAACCACTAATACAAGGCAGGATGGATCCATGCTTTCATGCTGTTAAGGCCAAATTCTGACCCGACCATCTGAATGTGTCAGCAGAAATGGAGACTCATCAGAGCAGGCAACGTTTCTCCAATCTTCTATTGTCCAGTTTTGGTGAGGCTGTGTGAATTGTAGCCTCAGTATCCTGTTCTTAGCTGACAGGAGCGGCACCCGTGTGGTCTTCTGCTGCTGTAGCCCATCCGCCTCAAGGTTGGACGTGTTGTGTGTTCAGAGATGCTCTTCTGCAGACCTCGGTTGTAACGAGTGCTTGTTTGAGTTACTGTTGCCTTTCTATCAGCTGGAACCAGTCTGGCCATTCTCCTCTGACATTAACAAAGCATTTGCGCCCACAGAACTGCCGCTCACTGGATATTTCCTCTTTGTCAGACCATTCTCTGTAAACCCTAGAGATGGTTGTGCGTGAAAATCCCAGTAGATCAGCAGTTTCTGAAATACTCAGACCAACCCGTCTGGCACCAACAACCATGCCACATTCAAAGTCCCTTAAATCCCCTTTCTTCCCCATTCTGATGCTCACTTTGAACTGCAGCAGATCCTCTTGACCATGTCTACATGCCTAAATGCATATGTATGTATGTATGTAAGTGTATGTTTTGTGTGTGTGAGTTTCTGTATGTACTGTGTGTGTATGTATGTGTGTGTGTGTGTGTCAGAGTGTGTATTTATGTCCGTGTGTGTATGTCAGTTTGAGTGTGTACATCTGTGTGTGGGTGTGTGTGTATGCACTCACGGTCTCTCTTTTCCTCCAGTGACAATGAGTCCGTCTCTGAGTGTGGTGTACATGGTGAACACGGGGCCAGTGTGAGCTTTAGCCACCACACGCACCAGAAAGTGTTCCCGCCACACAAACACATCGCCGTTTATGGCGCCGGTGAACGTCAGGTTATTCTGATATCACACACACACACACACACAACAGAAAAACATATTTGCACATTATTTGCACGTAATCTGATATTTTGCACAAGAATTTTAGAATTAGAACATTAGAATTTTTATTTAATTTAAAAGAGGGTGGCACGGTGACTCAGTGGTGTCGCACTGTGGTCTTACAGCTAGAAAGCCGCTGGTTTGAGCACTGTCTGGGTCAGTTGGCATTTCTGTGTGGAGTTTGCATGTTCTCCCCGTGTTGGCATGGGTTTTCTCCCCCNCAGTCCAAACACATGCGCTATAGGAGAATTGGGTAGGCTAAATTGGAAGTAGTGTATGTGTGTGAATGAGTGTGTATGGGTGTTTCCCAGTAATAGTTTGCAGCTGGAAGAGCATCCGCTGTGTAAAACATATGCTAAAAAAAGTTGCTGGTTCATCCCACTGTGGTGACCTCTGATAAATAAAGGGACTAAGCCGAAATTAAAATGAATGAATGAATTAATTTATTGCATATACTTACAATAATTATTCACTCATTCATTATCCTTTGGCTTTGTCTCTTATTACACAGCGGAATGAACCGCCAACTATTCCAGAATATGTTTTATGCAGCGGATGCCCTTCCGTACTGGGAAACACCTATACACACTCATTCTAACACACACACACACCCATAGACTATGCCCAATTTAGTTTATTAATTCCCATATAGTGCATGTGTTTGGACCGGAGCACCCCGAGGAAACCCACACCAACGGAGGGAGAGCATGCAAACTCCACACAGAAATGCCAACTGACCCAACTGGGACTCAAACCAGTGACCTTCTTGCTGTGAGGCCACAACGCTAACTACTGAACCACCGTGCCACCCTTACTGTAATTACTATAGTAAATTACAGGAAGCACGAGTAACTGCCACCTTAATATAAAGTGTTATCAAACATGATATTAATCTAAACCACTAAATTGCCTCCATTGTTCTGGTAAGCAAAACAATGAAGGATTGGAAATATTCCTGTCATCAGTTTACACTTTTTTTTAAAGGTGAAGAGCTTAGAAATGTTCCTTTTTTTGTTCGATGATGTAATCTCAGCTGAAATATGAAGAAAGGGCGGGGCATATAGAGTAGCCCCTCCTCTTATAAAACAGCCAATAGCACTTTGTTTTCTCACAGCTCTTCCAGTGAGAGTGCTTGAGCTAAAGTGCATCATATGAAAAGCCAATGGGAAGAAGGGGGTGGGGCATGACAGACTAGAGAGTATTTGATTGGTCAGAAGATTTGATGAAAAAATGAGAAAACACTGATCCAGTTAGCAAGCTTTACATGTTTATCTCATATCTTCTGAACATGATTTCTAGGTTATAGATATCCCTAAAACTACCATTTAAAATATTTCATTTTAATGTCACAGGACCTTCTTTAAATGATATTCTGCCATATATGAATAATTATGAGAGACTCACAGCTCCAAATGCCACTGAGAGCATGGTCTGCATGTGTCCGTCCTCCACCGCTCCGATCACTCCTTTCTTATACAGCAGAGATCCTCCAACCAGCGTCCAGAACTTGATGTGTTTGATTCCCACCGACACGAACTGAGTGTCTGAATCAGGTCTGAACTCCACCACGAAGATCCTGTCTGTGTGACCACCTTTACTGCAAACCCTGGAGCCTGACAACACAGCAGTAGCGCATTAATATCACTCTCACACAAATATACACACACAAATCTGGTTGTTGTTGACTAGTATGTATGTTTTTATTTATTTTATTATTTGTTTTTTTGCTTGGTGATTTTTTTTTTAACATTTAAAGGCTTAACTAGGGTGATTAGGGTAAAGTTAGAGTAATTAGGCAAGTCATTGTATAACGGTGGTTTGTTCTGGAGACAATCCAAAACAAATATTGCTTAAAGGGGGCTAATAATATTGACCTTAAATTGGTGTTAAAAAAATTAAAGGTGCTTTTTTTTAGCCAAAATAAAACAAATAAGACTTTCTCCAGAAGAAAAAATATTATAGGAAATACTGTGAAAATTTCCTGAATCTGTTCAAAATCATTTGGGAACTATTTGAAAAAGAAATTCACAAGAAGGCAAATATTTCTGACTTCAACCGTATATATTGATAAATGACTCAGAATGGGTCAGACCTTCCTGCCACCTCCACACAGTGATGGTGTGTTCTGGATCCACTCCCACAGACAGCAGCAGTTTCCCCGTGGCGCTGAAGTTGACGTATCCGATGCCTTTAGCATGAGCGCAGCGCAGCACAGACATTGTCTGTTTACTCATGGCGTCCCACACATGTATGGACGGTGCAAGGCCTGCAGACATGCGCACACACACACACTGACATCAGGACCAGCAGCACTTAAACTGTAAACTCATAGAATCAGGTTTATTAGAACACACGGACTATGCATATTTTGCACAAACACACACACATATATATATTTTTTCTCTCTTTTATTTGATAATTAATGTAAGATATTGGAATTAAAAGTTTTATTGAACAACACATTTCCTTTTAATGCAATACAAATATTCACATTTACCTGTTAAAACACCTGTATAATTGCATAAATATATGCAGGAATGATTTTGACTCATTTATTTGTGCATAATGAATGTATAAATATTTAAACCAAAGACACTGTTAGCAAAACTACACTGAAAAACACTTTAAATTATTACATTTATATCCTATTATTTCTGCCATAAAAATCTTGCTATTTTCCACATTTTGAGTAATTAAAAAATAAAACAACAATTTAATATTATCATATGATGAAGGTTGAATGATACTCAGGCTTTTTTAGAAGGACAAAGGAAACACATGTCGAGGTTTTTTTTTTCTAGCACTTAAGGAGGGAATAATCAAGAATAATCAAGCCAATGAGGATTCATGGATGCAAACATCGCAGAGAGCAGAGTTTTTTTTTTTTTTACAGAAATTAGGAAATTAAAAATAAATCGTGTTAATACTCATTAATTTCAGTTAAAGCCTTTGTGACCAGGGCTGTCAGAGAACAAGAGTCATATTTATATACACTTTTTCTCATCAAGATGTATTAATTTTTTTGTTGTTGTTAATATTACTATTCTTTTTTAACCAAAATTACAGTTTACAATAAGGAAAAATAATACACACACACACACACACACACACACACACACACACACACACACACACACATATATATATATATATATATATATATATATATTTTTTTTTATGAGAAAACATTCATTTAAGATTAAAAATAAGATATTTTCATGTATTTTTTATAGTTTGTTTTAGTCTTGTTTTATATATACATTTTATGAAGAAAGTAATTAATGATGTAAGGAAGGAAGGAAATAATTAATGAAAGAAGGAAATTAAGAAGAAAGGAAGGAAATAAAGAAAGAATAAAGAAAGGAAGAAAGGAGGGAAGGAAGGAAAAGAGAAAGGAGGAAAGACAAGTAAGTAGGAATGAAGAAAGGAAGGAAGGAAGGAAGGAAGAAAGGAAAATGAGGAAATAATTAAGAAAGGAAAGAAGGAAAAAAGGTAGGAAGGAAGGAAAGCAAGGAATGAAGAAAAGAAGGAAGGAGGAAAGGAAGGATATAAAGAAGGAAGGAAAAGAAAGTAATGAAAAAGGAACGGAGGGAAGGAAGATAGAAAGGAGAAAATGAATGAAGCAAAGGAGGGAAGAAATGAAGGAAGGAAGTAGAGAGGGAAGGAAGGAAATAAGGAAGGTAGGAATGAAGGAAGGAATGAATGAAGAAAAGGAAGGAAGAAAGGAAGGAAGGAAGGAACAAAAGAAAAGGAAAAAAATGAAGAAAGGAAGAAAGCAGAGAAGGAAGGAAAGAAGGAACAAAGGAAAAGAGAAAGGAGAAAAGGGAGGTGGGAAGAAAGGAAAAATGAAGGAAGGAAGAAAAGAGGAAAGGAAGGAAATAAGAAGGTAGGAATGAAGGAAGGAAGGAAAGACGAAAAGCAAGGAAGAAATGAACGGAGGATGGAAGTAAGGAAGAAAGGAAAGACAAGGAAAAAATGAAGAAAGGAGAGAAGGAAGGAAATGCGGAAGGAAGAAAGGAAGGAAATAATGAATGAAGAAAAGGAAGGAAGAAATGGAGGAAGCAAGGAAGGAAGGAAATAAGGAAAGAAGGAAAGGAGAAGGAAGGATATTAGGAAGAAAGGAAATAATAAAGGAAGGAAAGAATGAAGAAAGGAAGAAATGAAAGTAAGGAAAAGGGAAAGGAGAAAAGGAAGGAAGTAATGAAAGAAAGAAGGGAAGAAAGAAAGAAAGAAAGAAAGAAAGAAAGAAAGAAAGAAAGAAAGAAAAGTAAGGAAAATGGGAAAGCAAGGAAGGAAGGAATAAGTGGAGGAAGGAAGAAGGAAGAAATACAGTAAAGGAATAGAAAGGAAGAAAGAGGAAAAGAAGAAAAAGAAAATGAGGAAAGAGGAAAGGTAAGAAGGAAGTAAGGTAGGAAGGAAATAATAAGGGAAAGTCTGGGCTACAGAGGGGGTGTTTGTGTGATGTTCTGCTTTGTAACTCTGCAGATGTTCTTCATGCTCAAACACACACTTGATCATGTAAAACAAGAGCAGAGCAAAAGCCAATAATGCAGATGAGCTCTCTGCTGTCCTACCTGGCAGATCGGTGATGTCGCCTGTGTGTTGATGAGGGATGACACAGTGATCAACAAAAATGAGAGAAGCTGCTCTTAGTGCCAAAGCAGAATTATGTGCAGATTCAAATCATTAGCAAAACAAAACAAACATAAACAAACACAAGCAGACCTGTTACTGACACAAAATCAAGCAGTGCACGCCGAGAGAAGCAAACACAAAAGATGATGAAAGTGACTGAGCATGCAAAGAAATGAAGGAATAAAGAAAGTAAGGAAGGAAGGAAGGAGCGAGGGGAAGGAAGGAATGAAGAAAGAAAAAGAAAGGAATGAAACAAAATGAAGGAATGAAAAGAAATAAAATAAATGAAGGAAGGAAGGAAATGGAAGGAAGGAAGGAAGGAAGGAAGGAAGGAAGGAAGGAAGGAAGGAAAGAAGGAAGGAAGGAAGGAAGGAAGGGAAAAAAAGAAAATAAATGAAGGAAAAGAAAGAAAAAGAAATAAAGGAATTAGAGAAATAGAAAGGAAGGAAGGAAGGAAGGAAAGTAAGAAGGAAGGAAAGTAAGAAGGAAGGAAGGAAGGAAGGAAGGAAGGGAAAAAAAGAAAATAAATGAAGGAAAAGAAAGAAAAAGAAATGAAGGAATTAGAGAAATAGAAAGGAAGGAAGGAAAGAAGGAAGGAAGGAAGGAAGGAAAGTAAGAAGGAAGGAAGGAAGGAAGGAAGGAAGGAAGGAAGGAAGGAAGGAAGGCAGGAAGGAAATAAAAGAAATGAAACAAAATGAAGGAATGAAAAGAAATGAAATAAAGGAAGGAATAAAGGAAGGAAGGAAATGAAAGGAAAATGAAGGAAGGAAGGAAGGAAGGAAGAAAAGGCAATGAAGGAAGAAAAAAAGAAAATTAATGAAGGAAAAGCAATAAAAAGAAATGAAGGAATTAGAGAAATAGAAAGGAAGGAAGGAAAATGGAAGGAAAATGAAAGAAGGAAGTAAGGATGGAAAGAGAAAAGGGAATGAAAAAAGGAATGAAGAAAATGAATGAAGGAAAAGAAATGAAATAAAGGAAGGAATGAAGGAAGGAAGGAAATTAAAGGAAAAGGAAGGAAGGAAGGAAGGAAGGAAAAGCAATGAAGGAAGGAAATAAAAAGAAAATGAATGAAGGAAAGGAAAGAAAAAGAAATGAAGGAATTAGAGAAATAGAAAGGAAGGAAGGAAAGAAGGAAGGAAGATGGAAGGAAAATGGAAGGAAAGGGAAAGAAGGAAGGAAGGAAGGGAAGGAAAAATGAGGGAATGAAAAAAAAGGAATGAAGGAAAAGAAATGTAGGAAAAGAAAGAAAAAGAAATGAAGGAATTAGAGAAATACAAAGGAAGGAAGGAAGGAAAATAAATAAAGGAAGGAAAATGAAGGAATGAAATGGAATGAAGAAAAAGAAATGATGAAAGGAAGGAAAGAATGAAGGAAGGAAGGGAAAAAGAGGGAAGGAAAATAAAGGAATGAATGAAATAAATGAAGGAAAAGAAAGAAAAAATGAAGGAATTAGAGAAACAGAAATGAAAGGAAGGAATGCAGGAAGGAAGGAATGAAGGAAGAAAAGAAGAAAGGAAAATACATGAGAGAAGGAAGGAAAATAAAGGTAGGAAATGGGATGAAAGAAAAGAAATTAAGAAAGGAAGGAAAGAATAAAGGAAAAAAATAAAGGAAAAGAAATGAAGGAAAAGAAAGAAAAAGAAATAAAGGAAGGATGAAAGGAAATTAAGAAATAGAAAGGAAGGAAGGGAGGAGGGAGGGAGGGAAAATAAATTAAGAAAAGAAAATGAAGGAAATTAAATAAAGAATGTAAAAAAGAGGGAAGGAAAAGAAATAAAGAAAAAGGAAGGAAAAGAAATGAAGGAAGAAAAATAAAAGGAGATAGGAAAATGAATAAAGGAAATTGAGTGAAGAAAAAGAAACGAAGGAAGGAAAAGAAATGAAGGAAAAAAAGCAAAAGAAATGAAGGAGGGAAAATATAAAGGAAGGAAAAGAAATGAAGAAAAGGAAATTAAGGAAAGAAAGAAGGACTTAAGTAAGGAAGATTCTAATTATTAGCAAAATCACACAAGCAGGCCTGATATGAACAGAAAATCAAGCAGTGCAGCAGGAAGAAGCGAAGGCAGAAGCCAGTGAGAGTGACTGAGATGCAGAGAGATGTGGAGGAGTGAACACTGAACACTGAACTGTAAATGTGACACACTGACCGATCTGACCCGTGGCGATGATGTTCTGGTATTTGGGATGTTGGTTGACGGTCAGGCAGAGGATGTCGTCCGTGTGCTCCAGATAAAAGCTCTGAGTACCTGCAAACCACAAAAAACAGCGACAATTTATGTCAGTGTTTTTGACTTTTAAATGACAAGTGTTCTTATAATTTAAGCTTAGAAGGTGTTATAGCTTGTTCTGATCTTATTGTTCTGCAATGCCCTTTTATACACTTCTTAAGAAAATGAAGGAAGGAAAAAAAGAAAGAAAAAAAACTTAAAAAAAGAAATCGAAAAAAATAAATAAGCAAATAAATACATCAAAGTGATAAAAATGATTATTTTTCTGAAACACAAGCGCAGTTGCAGTTCCACCTGTAGCCTCTAGAGGTCAGCAGCAGCTCAAACCTGACTTGGAATCAGATTGGCTTGTAGAAGACACACCCACAAATATAAAATCAAGCCAGTCTGCATGAAAACCAGCAGCTGTGCAGTAATGAGGGTTTACCAGCAGAGAGGCTGTGGATGACAGCAGCAGCAGCCGTGTGGAAGATGATGTCGGCTCCATCATTGAGGTAGTGAAGGTTGTTTCGACAATCAAATCCTCTGTATCCAAACACATGGTCCAGAGAGAGCTCCTGAAAACACACACAGGCATGCACGCACACACACAGACAAACACACACACAAACAAACAAACAAAAACAAGCATGCACACACAAATACATGCAAGCACATACAATCACACAGACATGAGCACTCACACAAACACACACAAACGTATGCACACACAGGCATACATAAAAATGTACATGGCCACAAACACACACAGACACATGCACATAAACGCAAACATGCACACACACAAACAAACAAAAAAAAAACAAACAAATGTCCACACACACACAAATTTGTTTTTGTGAATTGTGGGGACATTCCAAAGGTTTCCATTGTTTAAACACTGTACTGTAATTTATGCTTTACTGTAATTTATAGTTTAAACACACCTCCACCGTCTTCTTCTTCTTGGTGATGTTGTTCTTGACCAGTTTGTCAGGTAACGGTGCGGCTCGACTCACTGGAGGTCTGCAGGAAAAATAACTATTATCATTACACTGACAGAAAAGGACTGTCCTTTTCAGATTATATATTATACAATATCATTATAACATTATTACAATATACTATAATTACATTATATTATATTATATTGTTATACTATACTATATTATTATATTATATTATATTATATTATATTATATTATATTATATTATATTATATTATATTATATTATATTATATATTATTATACTGTATTATTATAATATTATATTATATATTATTATATTATTATATTATATTATTATATTATTATATTATATTATATTAAATTATATTATTATATATTATTATATTATTATATTTATTATATTATATTATTATACTATATTATTATATTATATTATTATTTTATATATTATTATATTCTATATTCTATTCTATTTTATTCTATTATATTATATTATATTATATTAATTATATTATATTATTATATTATATATTATTATATTATATTATGTTAAATTATTATATTATATATTATTATATTATATTATTATACTATATTCTTATATTATATTATATATTACTATATTATATTATAATATAATATTATATTTTTATATTATATTATATTATTATATTATATATTATTATATTATATTATATATTATTTATTATATTATATTATTATATATTATTATATTATATTATTATATTATATTATTATATGAACATGTTAGCAGCATGCTAAAACATGGTAATACATAGATAGCATTGTGGTATTTTATAACATGCTATTAAATGTCTAAACAGCAAACTAACACACTAGCAATGTGCTAACACATTGTTTTCCAACAAACAGCAACCACTAAAATATGCTAGCAATATGCTAAAACATGCTAATAAAAAGATAGCATTGTGGTAAACATGCTTAAAAGTATTGTTTACCGTTCATCCACCAGTATCTCCTTCTGCTGTTGGTGTGGCTTTACTCCAGTCATCTGTCTTATACTAACAGCATAGATCTTTGTTGTGTAATCCATGTTTTTTTCCCGAGCTACGTCACTGTCGTACCCTAAACACACAGACGTTTGTCAAATAAATGTAGAACACTACATTCCATCCAATAAACCAAAGCAAACCTCACCTCCGTCCTCTTCAGCGTCATCATCCGACTCCTCACTGTCCACTACTTTGCTCTCACGTGGACCAATCCCCTCCCTCGCCCAGATCATGAGGGCTGTGTCGGCTCCGCCCACCGACAGCAGCATAGCATCATCATTGGACCATCGCACATTCGTCACATTGGCACTGTGGGCCACGTACTTCTTGAACTTGGCAAATTGACCCTGTATTAAGCAAAAAGCATCATGCTAGGTTGATTATTAATTATTAAATGATAAATTATAATAGTTTTAAGTGTTAAACACAGGCTTTAAATAGGATTATTGCACTACTGTTCAAATGTTTGGGGTTTTTATTAGTTTTGGGCAAAGGTTAAATGTGATTAATCGCATCCAAAATCAAAGTTTGTTTTTTTACATTATATGCGTGTATTGTATAAACTTACCAGCCATTTTATTAGGTACACCTGTTCAACTGCTTATTAATGCAAATTTTTAATCAGCCAATCACATGGCAGCAACTCAATGCATTTAGGCATGTAGACATGATCAAGACGATCTGCTGCAGTTCAGAGTGAGCATCAGAATGGGGAAGAAAGGGGATTTAAGTGACTTTGAACGTGGCATGGTTGTTGGTGTCAGACGGGCTGGTCTGAGTATTTCAGAAACTGCTGATCTGCTGGGATTTTCACGCACATTCATTCATTTTCTTGTTGGCTTAGTCCGTTCATTAATTTGGGGTCGCCACAGCGGAATGAACCGCCAACTTATCCAGCAAGTTTTTACGCAGCGGATGCCCTTCCAGCCGCAACCCATCTCTGGGAAACATCCACACACACATTCACACACACACTCGGAGAATTTAGCCTACCCAATTCACCTGTACCGCATGTCTTTGGACTGTGGGGGAAACTGGAGCACCCGGAGGAAACCCATGCGAACGCAGGGAGAATATGCAAACTTCACACAGAAACGCCAACTGAGCCGAGGCTCAAACCAGCGACACAGCGACCTTCTTGCTGTGAAGCGACAGCACTACCTACTGCGCCACTGCTTCGCCTAATTTAAAATTTTAACCATTAAATTGATATTTTTATTCAATAATATTTTATTTTGCATTTTTAAATGCTCCTCACTGAATTTAATTATTCATGAAATTTTCTTTTAAATAAACAATGTATCAAAGCATCCTAAAATAGGAAGTTCGTGTTAAACTTTGATAATATTAACAAATGCTTCTTGAGCAATTTCGAAATTAATTATGAAAAAAATATTTTAAATAAAAATAACTAATTCTAAAAAATAGTCTATAAATAAAATGCACACCAAACATGATTAAAATCACAATATAAGTAGAAAAGTCATAAAAATACTGGAGCAATGGTTTATAAAAATTCAACTTTGCCACAATATTTTTAAACAGAAAACAACAATTTTAGGGAGACCTATTATACCCCTTTTTAAAAGATAATGTAATAATTAAATCTCTGATTTCCCCAGTGTGTGTGTGTGTGTGTGTGTGTGTGTGTGTGTGTGTGTGTGTGTGTGTTTGTGTAAAGTTTTAGCTCAAAACTGAAACTGACCCTTTTAGGCTTTGATCCTACTTGTGCCGTTTTGGCGACTATCGCTTTAAATTCAAATCAGATTGTGCTCTTTTTAAAAGAGGGCGGAGCTACAAATCCCTGTGTATCAGCATAGTGGCAGATTCAAAAACAAGACTAACTTCCTATGCTAATGAGGGAGAGATGGACACTAGTGGGCGGGGCTTTCCCCCTCTGATGACACGTACAAAGGGAGAATGTCAATCAAAGTGTTTCTATCAAGTCTGATTATAAAAAATACAATTAAAACATTTTGACCATAAGAAGCTGACTATATTCACACACTGCTGCCACACACCTGTGTTTAAACCCCTTATTAAAGTGATTTCTGCATTATAGCTTCCCTTTAAATTATCTCAATACTGTATTTTGCCCTCATATAAACTCTGCCATGGTGTGCTGAAGAGATTTCCTTCAAAAACAAAGGACGTATGGTATGATTAGCTATTATTAGGATGAGCAGTGACCTTGGAGGGGAAGCTGAAGAGCTTGACGAAGCCGAAGTCGTCTCCAGTGGCCAGAAGCTTCTTGTCTTTGGTGAGAGACGAGGCGTTGACCAAACTCAGAGTCGGCCAGATGCCCTCACAGGTGCCACCCAACACTGACGTCCAGGTGGCCCATTCCATTTTCTCAAACTGAACACACACACACACAGACAGGTGAAAACACACACGAATATACACACGCAGTACTGCAAATAATGATGTAACACGCTCAGTGTTCAGCTCCTGTACCTCTAAACTGCTGATAGTTTGTCGTCTTCCGCGCGGAGCTTCAAAAAAGAGCTGCTCTTTGGCACCAGTGTTGACTTGAAGCAGTTTTCCTGCAATAACGCACACAAAAACCTTTCATTACTTCAATATGCATACTTTATTTTTCTTTCCAACTCTGGGACTAAGCTAAATTGCATGTTAATCAGCCTATTAATCTGTGTATGTGTGTGTGTGTGTGTGTGTGTGATTTACCACGGACGTCCCAGTCCACATGTGTGATACAGCTGGACGCTCCTTTACAGATTCCCACTCTCTTACTGGTCAGAACATTATAAATGTCCACAAATGAATCATGGGAGGCCACAGCGAGGTATTTTCCAGCATCTTCAATGAAAAAGCAAGAAAAACAAATATACAAGCACATTTAATGTAATATTTTTACTCTAATATGTGCGATATTATATTTTAAATATATTAATAGTATTACAGATTGGTTTGGCAAAAGTTCATTACACCTAAATATTGGGAGTTATGTCTGGGGAGTCAAACAAGAGCGGTAGACACCAGTCTGTTTAAGACTACCATAAACTGACAAATAGTAGAGCAGGTCTCAAATTTTAAGTGTTTAGGCACCATATTGATAATAATTTGAATTTTAATTGTAATGTAGAGGCGGTTTATAAGAAAGCAAGTCAGAGCCTCTATTTCCTCCGCAAGTTGAGAAGTTTTAGGGCCCTATCATACACCCGGCACAGTGTGGCACATGGTGCGGCGCAATAGTCTTTTGCTAGTTTCAGCTTGGCGCAAGAGTCGTTTGAGGCGTTGCGCTACGCTGTTTAAATAGCAAAGGCATTAGCGCTCATATGTGCGCTCATAGGCGTTCTGGTCTAAAAAGGAAGGCGTTCTGAGGCGGACCGCTGGCGCGTTGCTATTTTGAGAAACTATAATAGATTTTTCATTAAACCAAAACAAACCCGGTCTAAACTCCGGCGCAGAGTTGCACCTCGCTTACACACTGCTTAATACAAACAAGAGAGCAATAGGCAAATATCTTTACATATGAAAAAAATTTAATATTAAGGATATATATATAGGATATAATAAGAATAGATATAGAATATAAATATAAAGGATTAAAATATTACAAAACATATTATTTTCTAGCCGACATAAATATGAAAAATCACTGCTTTTATGCCTTCTTCATCTCGGGAGGCTTTTTCAGTTCATTCATAACAATTTGCTTTTGTATAATGTTATTATTATTAGCAGTATTATTTATTATATCCATATTTATATTTATTTTATTAAAAACAAGCTTATATTTGTCCACCTGTCAGGTTTTAGACCATATGGGGCACAGCATGTGTATTAGGATATAACTCAGGTTTTTGAGCACACTTCATTATTATTGTTCATTTATTTGTTTGCTGGAAATTAGAACTGAATTTAGAAACAGTTTTGAAACGAATATTTGCGCTTAACAAACTAAATTAATTATTTATAGACTAATGGATGTCTGTGTGTAAAGGTTTCCCTATCCACGAGCGAAAGTGAAAGTAGATCCATTATCTCTCATTCTCATGCAGTAGATGCTCTGTTTAACAGTTTTCTGTTAACTGTTTGCTTGTGAAATGCTCAGTTTTTCCAATTAGACTTACTTTGCGTCCTGTAAATAGCGAATGTGCTTATGGCGCGATGCACCTGTCTCTTAAAGGGAATGGGAGATGAGACTCTAATTGGTTTATTCTCAAAACACACCTATAACTCATTAAGAAAATAAACTCAACCCTTTTAGACCATTCGCCACGGCGCAAAGCGGATTTTCTGAAAGCGTTTGCGCCCTGCGTTTTGCGCTCTGGCCTTCAAAATAGAGCCCTTAATGTTAGTACACAGACTTTAAACATGGCATTTAGATCATTGATGGAGAGTGTTCTCACATATAATATTGTTTCATGGTTTGGTAACACAACACTTAAACAGAAGAAGAAATTATCGCAAATTATCAATCAGGCAAATGAGATAACTGGTCACAAACAACATTCATTGCAGATTTTATTTGACTCCTTTATGGAAAAAACAGCAGTTGTGATTTTTAAAGGTAATACTCATCCCCTTCACTTCACGCAGGTTTAGAGTTCCTAAAGCATGAAGAAATGCTTTTAACAAGTCATTTATTCCAATGGCAGTTGTTATTTTAAATCGGATCACTGTTTCAAGTGAAGGAGGCGGTTGCCATATGAAGGTAAATCTGTTGCGAAACTCGAGAACTTGCAAATGTAAATGTGAGCACTTGTGATAATAATATTTGTATGTGTAGGTTGAAATGTACACTTACAGCTCTGATGTGAACAGCTGAAATCCTTGATTTGCACACACACACAACAATCCACACACTTGTGTTTTGAATTGGAAGTTGCAGATTAATAGTTGTGTATTTGTAAAATGTCATTCACAAATACAAAGTGACAGACACACGTGTGCACGGCAAATTTGACTGCATCTTCGCTCTACAACTACAGGTCGGCACTCACAACCTCTCAGATTCGTCAGTACAACTACAAATCTCCCGCGCTCTGACTTTTGCAACACATCTCCCGCGATCTCTGTAGCAGAACTCATCTGTGCACTCGCAGATGCAGAGGCGTGAGCAGCGCGGGGCGGGGGAGGGGCGGGGCAGGTGTAAAGCTGTTTGATTGGCTGATGCCTGACCAATGAACAATGCCAGCAGCCAACAGGACTGAGTTGCAAAATAATAATTTCCCACGATTATTTTATTAGTTAGGGTTTATTTAAACTCTTTTCTGAAGAGATTCTTGTTAAAAATCATAAATTCTGTGGAAATGTACATACCAGTAAAAGAGCAGCAAAGCCAGTTTATTGGCTAAAGCCAGCCAATGAGATGGGGCGTTTCTGTTTGTCAGCACACAGGGCAGCTCACGTTGTTGGAGGCCTCGAGCAATCAGAGGGTAAGTTATGATTTTTAATAATTATCTATATGTTCAATACTGTTAGCTAAGCTAAGGACTGTGCTGGGTGTTCAATGAATTGAAGTATACTTTATATGTAAAACCTAATACATTTTAAAGCAGTTTCATTTCTTTCTAATTTTTACATCTACATGCATTACATCTGATTTAGGTCCAGAACTTGCATCCTTCAACATGATATGTGTGTTCAAAGGAAGAGCAACTAGGTGAGGGAGACAGTGTCCATCGCTCGGCTGAGGGTCCACTTTGAGCATCTCATCTGCAGGGTTAAGCAACATAAGCTGAACAGTCATCATCTCTCTCTATTACAGCGAGCATCAACCAGCTTTACACAATGGCTTGCTTTCTGACCATTAGTAAAGGCTTGAGCAAAGTATTAAAGAGGAGATAACATTTGATGGGTAATGATGAAGTTGGATTTACCACCTCCATCTCATTATGAACAAGGAAAAACCCTGAAATATTTCAATACAAGTAACTAGACATTTGCACTGCACTTATTTGGACTGTAAATTTTATTTGACAAATTACATTCCCTTACAGAACAGGTGTCAAACTCAGTTCCTGGAGGGCTGCAGCTTTGCAAAGTTTAGTTCTAACCCTAATTAAACACACCGATCAAACTAATTGAGTCCTTCAGGTTTGTTTAAAACTTTCACTTAAGTGTTTTGAAGCAGGGTTGCAACTAAAAACGTGCAGGGTTACGGGCCTTCAGGAACTGAGTTTGACACCCCTGCCTTACAGTAAAGTGTAAAAATACTACATTAAACAATTATCAAAATAAAAGTTGTGTGTGTGGGTGAGTGTGTGTTTTGTTCAAATCTGTAGTCATCTTGGCAGGTAAAAAGAGAAAATAAATGGTTGGCTTCCTCTTGAATGATCTGAATCATTTTGAAGTGTTTGTAGATGAGCTGGATCATCATGTCATCTTTAGCATAAATAACATCCTATTCAAGCTATGCAGCTTCTCTGAGTTCCTCATCGACTTGAAACATGCTGATCTCTCCTGTCACTCCATCCTTACAGGAAACTGAGAAATAACCTATAGTTAGTAACTTTCATAATTAAAAAAGTGATATAAAGGACACACTGTACACAAACATGTAAATAGATAGATGGATAGATAGATATGATGCAGGTTATAATAACAAAAACTGGTATGATCTGTAAGAAACTGAAACGCCTAGTGTTATTTTTAATTGCTATTAATGTGTGCGTGTGTGTAAATATACTTCAATTCATTAAAGTTCATGCTAGTTAATACTACAGTGTGCTGTTGCATTCATTAACAAAGTTGTAGATACTGCAGTATATACAGTATAATACAGTTTATTATAGTTAGTATGGTTCAAAAATTTTTTTTTCTATTATTTACTATAAATACTATTACAACTTCTTATTTCATGTGGGTTGAATCGTATCTTTAGAACCATATAACATGATTGAAAGCAGCTCCTAAATAACTCATAACTGTTTTCTTATATAAGAAACAAACAAGAGAAGCACCCAGCACAGTCCTTAGCTTAGCTAACAGTATTGAACATATAGATAATTATTAAAAATCATAACTTACCCTCTGATTGCTCGAGGCCTCCAACAACGTGAGCTGCCCTGTGTGCTGACAAACAGAAACGCCCCATCTCATTGGCTGGCTCTAGCCAATAAACTGGCTTTGCTGCTCTTTTACTGGTATGTACATTTCCACAGAATTTATGATTTTTAACAAGAATCTCTTCAGAAAAGAGTTTAAATAAACCCTAAATAATAAAATAATCGTGGGAAATTATTATTTTGCAACTCAGTCCTGTTGGCTGCTGGCATTGTTCATTGGTCAGGCATCAGCCAATCAAACAGCTTTACACCTGCCCCGCCCCTCCCCCGCCCCGCGCTGCTCACGCCTCTGCATCTGCGAGTGCACAGATGAGTTCTGCTACAGAGATCGCGGGAGATGTGTTGCAAAAGTCAGAGCGCGGGAGATTTGTAGTTGTACTGACGAATCTGAGAGGTTGTGAGTGCCGACCTGTGGTTGTAGAGCGAAGATGCAGTCAAATTTGCCGTGCACACGTGTGTCTGTCACTTTGTATTTGTGAATGACATTTTACAAATACACAACTATTAATCTGCAACTTCCAATTCAAAACACAAGTGTGTGGATTGTTGTGTGTGTGTGCAAATCAAGGATTTCAGCTGTTCACATCAGAGCTGTAAGTGTACATTTCAACCTACACATACAAATATTATTATCACAAGTGCTCACATTTACATTTGCAAGCTCTCGAGTTTCGCAACAGATTTACCTTCATATTGCCAAGAATGATCGGCAGTATTTTGTATGGGGCTAATTTGGTTTTTAAACTTTTAACTTATGTTGTTGTCTTGATGAGTGTTGTTATTGTGTGGTTGTTGTATGTTTGTAATTGTTGTCTTAAATCCAGTGTTGAAGGCAAATTTCCTTTCTGTGTCAAGCAGAACAGACAATAAAGTTTAAACTAAACTAAACTAAACTAAACTAAATATATTCATGCTGATTTATGAAAATTTTTATATATATATTTATTATACGTCTTATTGTGTGCCTTATGCCAAAAGCTGCTGAACAAAATGTCATTGTGCCTGCAGATGCTTGATGCATGAGTCTTTTTTAAAAGCAGGGTGAATCTGCTTTCAGCTACTAACAGCGCCCCCCGCTGCTGGAATCAGCTTCCAGAAATGATCAGATGTGCTCCAACATTCAAATCAAGACTGAAACACATCTGTTTAGCTGTGCCTTTACTGAATGAGCACTGTGCTACGTCCAACAGATCGCACTATTGTGCCTTTCTTTTTTTTTTCATTCTTTTATAACCCGTTTTAACACATTTTAATCTGTTTTTAATTATTTTATTTTCATTTTTTTATTTTCTTATACTTGTCTTTTTATTCTTGTTTAAGTTAAGCACTTTGAATTGCCACTGTGTATGAAATGTGCTATACAAATAGACTTGCCTTGCCTTTTATGAAAAATTTACATAAATATATAGCAAATTTTTAATGGAGTTAATGAATTAACAAAAGTTCAGTAGCTGGGTCACGCCTAAACCAATCAACTTCCCTCGTCTACTATTTAAAGGAAGTGAACCCTCCCTAAACCGTTTCTCTCAGATTCTCACTCCCTCCCACCCAATTCCCCTCTAAACTCATCCACTCATCCCCTACACCCCTCCCTCCCAGTGGTGTAGTCCTAGAAAAAAAGGTGGTGTACTATTACACCCGACACATATTTTAAATGAAAGTAGGCAAAGAAACGTATATATTTATTTATATATTTATATATATTTTTTTATTTTTATTTTTTTTTTTTACATCAGTTACCTGTATTTAAGTTAACTCAAAAGGGCCTGTGCATACATGGAAAGACAGCTTTTCAGCTTACTTTCTTTACTGGCTTATTACTTTACATTTTATAGGTTCCTTTAAACATCAATCAGCAATTATTTTTAATTGTCACATTCGTGCATGCTTGTTTTAAACCAAACTATTAGGAGTCTGTCTTCTGTTGTCGCTATTATATACTAATAGGTACCCTTTTAAATCGCACATTGTTACGCGATTAATGAGTAGTGTTTGCCTAATTGTTTTTAGTGTTATATACGGTATAGTGTCGTTCACTAGCTGCACAATTAAGACAAATGTGAAATACTGTTTTACAGGGGCGATTTTAGGATTTTAATTTTAGGGTGGATCAGGATCAGATCCTTTTGGGGAAAACAAAGAAAAATGTGTCATCTATATATTTAAGTAAGAATTGTAAGAAATAGGCACATCTTAACAAATTAAGTTGTGAGGTAAAAAAAAAAAAGTTACAGTTAAAGTGGACGCAAATACATGTAAATTAGGGAAGTTTAATCAGAAAAACAAATGAGTATACTGAGGGTATACTCAATTATTGATCCTCAGAAGTGGTAATACCCAAACAGCTCATGGAAAAAAGTAAGCATACTGAGTATACGTGCGTATAGCAAGGACTACACCACTGCTCCCTCCCCTCCCTGTATCTCATCTCTATCTCATCTCATCCCTTCTAAAGGTTCCACTTTAACCTACGACACAAAGCCCCCACTCTGAGTCTCCCTGGACAAGACTCCCTGATCAGCCAGTTCAACGACCATCCATACTTCTCTACTCAATCTCCATAACCATTACCTACTTCTCAAACAACTTGTAATAAAAGTTTCTCAAACAACGGTTGTAGCGTGGTCGTTGATGGTGAAAATACAGCTGAAGACAACATTATTAGCAAAATATATATTTTGTTCACAGCATTTCCTATTATATTTTTCTTCTGGAGAAAGTCATATTACTTTAAGTTTATCTGGAATATTATTTTAAAACATGCTAAGGTCAACATTCATTCATTCATTCATTTTCTTGTCGGCTTAGTTGCTTTATTAATCTGGGGTCGCCACAGCGGAATGAACCGCCAACTCATCCAGCGTGTTTTTACGCAGCGGATGCCCTTCCAGCCACAACCCATCTCTGGGAAACTAAGGTCAACGTCCTAATTATAAATAAATTATTAATATATTATTAATATATCATTATTATATATTAATGTTTTAATTTGTCTACAGAACAAACCACTGTTGTCCAATAACTTGCCTAATTCCCCTAACCTTAGCCTGGTTAAGCCCTCAAATGTCACTTTAAGCTGAATACTAGTATCTTGAGGAATATCTAGTCAAATATTATGTGCTGTCATCATGACAAAGATAAAATAAATCAGTTATTAGAGATGAGTTATTAAAACTATTGCGTTTTAAAATGTGCTCTTCTTTCCGTCAAACAGCATTTGGGAAATATTTGAAAACAAATATAAAATATATATTCATGTATTTTCTACTATTATTTATTAGATGTATTCAGCAGCGCAAATGAGTGGATCAAAGCTTGAAGATAAGTCCAGCTCTGGAACTAGAAAACAGCATGAGGTCTTGTTAGCGATGCATAATGAAAAAGCATAAACAAACACGTCCCAGGTTTCCTGTAAAACACCACACAGAGGGAAGCTCAGTTTATCCATGTCAAAACAGCTTTTTCTGAGAGGAATCGGTGATTTAATCTCTCTGCCAGTGAGTGTGTGTGGACATTCACCTTGAGAGAACCTGATGTCAGAGATGATCTCCTTTCTGTGGTGAAACGTCACCATGTCCTCCAATGTGTCTGCGTTCACCACTAGGAAGCTGCCATCGTTCAGACCCACCGCTAAGGCTTTTCCATCAGGGGAGAAGGCACAGCATCGACCACCTACAAACACACACACACACACACACACACACACACACACACACACACACAACAATGACATTAAACCAGTGGTGGAAAGAGAACTGAAAAGCCTTACTCAGGTAAAAGTACTATTACTTTCCCAAAAATGTAGCGCAAGTAGAGTAAAAGTATCTGATGTAAATATTACTCCATGTATGAGTAAAAAGTAGCCCTTTTAAAAGTACTCATGAGCTGTGAGTATTACACTGTGGAAGTCTGATGCGTTTACATGTTTTGCTTTATGTCTTTTGCAGACTCGTGTGTACCTTTTTTTAGTTTCCGGACGGCCACCATTCGATGGTTGGCTGAAAGCTCCCAGATGCGCAGTGTTTTATCATCACTCACTGTGGCACAGATAGGCAGCAGTGGATGAGCGGCCAGACCCCAAACTTCCCCCTCCATATGACCCTAAAACACACACAAAAACACAACATATTCAAGAGTGCAAGATTAATAAAAAGATTAATGTTACATGCGTCAATACAAGCATCTGCTAAATGCAGTGCTGGGTGTTTTGAGTTATAAAGTTACTAGTAAATAAAATAAAATAAAATAAAATAAAATAAAATAAAATAAAATAAAATAAAATAAAATAAAATAAAATAAAATAAAATAAAATAAAATAAAATAAAATAAAAAAAAATAAAAAAAAATAAAATAAAATAAAAAAATAAAAAAATAAATAAAAAAAAAATAAAAAAAATAAAATAAAATAATTATTTTTAATAAAAAAACAATTATTTATTAAGCAATTAAATAAACAAATAAATTGAATAATTAAATAAATAAATATATAAATGAATGAATAAATTATTATAAGGACATTTTTGTAATAAAAATATGAATATTTTAAGCAATTAAATAAATAATTATTAAAAATTATTTAAATAAATAATAAATAAATCATTTTAACTTTTAAGTTTTTAATTAAATAAAAATAATTTAATAAATAAATACAATAAAATGTAAATAAACAAATAATTTGTTTTTAAGTAATTGTAATAATAAACAAAACAAAATAAAATAAAAATAAATAAATACATTTTAAAAATAAAAAAAAAAATAAAAAAATACATTTTAAAAATTTCTAATTATTAAAAACAATTACTAAATCAATAAATGCAATAAAATATATATAACTAAACTATACATTAAGTAATTCTAATAAATAAATAAATAAAATAAAACAATAAAATTAAATGAATAAATAAACAAACAAAAAATAAAGTGCTTCTAGTTATTAATATAAATAATTAAATTAATAAATACAATAAAATATAAATAAATTAATAAATAATTTTTAAGTAATTCTAATAAATAAAATAAAGTAAAATAAAATAATACAAATAAATGAATAAATAAATAAATAAGTAAACAAACAAATAAATAAAGTGCTTGTTTTGTCCTCAATTGTATGTCACTTTGGATAAAAGCATCTGCTAAAAGACTAAAGGTAAAATGTTCCACTAAAAAGTTAATAATTACTGTTAATTTTTTTCGTTATTTAATTACAGATACTCATAATGTACTTTCCCTGAACTGTAAATGAATTCAACAAATCTGTATAATATTAAAGGTATTTTAAACAGTAATTAAATAAGTCTTTACGTTTCTGAAATAATAATGAGAAAATTAATTTTAACAAAATTTTAATTATGCAATTAATAATTATTAATTAATTAGTGTTGTTTATTAACTTGTCAACCGCTGGCTTAATGCATAAATATAAAGGGTTATTATCGATTTATTGTTGTTGATGATCCACACCTGTACAAGTAAAGTCATGGGGCCGCTTTTGTCGATCTCCAAGATCTCTCCGTTCTTGGTTCCCACCAGAATGTGTCCATGTCCCAGTGTGATCGCTCTAATGGACGGATTGTCCTCCAACAACAGTCCTGAAGAAAACAACCACAACAATTAGACTTTAAAAAAATATTCATCATTTATTTTTGCGTGTGTGTGAATGAGTGTGTATGGATATTTCCCAGTACTGGGTTGTGGCTGGAAGGGCATCCAATGCGTAAAACACATGTGGGATTAGGTAGTGGTTCATTCCGCTGTGGCAACCCCTCATAAATAAGGCACTAAGCCAAATGAAAATGCATGAAGGAATTTCCTGTATTCCTGTATTTTTTTTTACATATTTAGCATGTTGATGGTCACTGTGGAATGCTGATTACTTTTCTAAATTATTTCTGTCTCCTAGAGGGTCTCAGTGTAAAAATAAAGCAGTGCAAAATAAAGCAGAACTGACCTTTAGATGAAGGCGAGAGAGCTGCTCTCTTGATGGCGTAGGTTTTCAGACATCTCTCAAACATGTCGTCCCACAGCTCCACCACTCCATCTTTACCACCCGTCACAAAACCCTTCACATCATGCACACATACACACACACACACGCACGCACAAGCACACACACACACACACACACACACACACACACACACACACACACACACACACACACACACACACACACACATACACACACACACACACATACACACACACACACACACATTTAATATTTATTTTCTTAGACAATATAAGTTATTAATTCATATACTGAAAATAGTAAATACTAATTATAGAGTAAAACTAATAATAAAAAACAATATGCATATCCTACATATACATTCTTTTCAATACTCATTTTAACCAATTTTATTAATTAATTATTATTTTAGTCCATTTACTTTGTTTATCTTACATTTCTGCATTACAAAATATTACAATTAAAACATAATTAAGACAAAAGTCTTGTCGCATATGCAAATTTTAGGAACGTCAAATAATAACTTGACTTCTAGTTGATCATTTGGTATCAGAAGTGTCTTATATGAAAGGCAAAGGCCTCTAGATGACGCTTATTTAAGCACAATCAAATATGATCATGTCTTGATTTTGGATGATTTCATTAGGGCAGTAAGCTCTGACTCTGACTAGACGACAGTCTCACCACTGAACAGAAATAATGTCCAGTATAGAATATAAAGTCCTGCTGCAGTGGAGACAGATTGAATATTGTGTCTGACTCCATCATGAGCTTGGAGGACTGCATCCATACATCTCTGACATGACTCACATCACTGATTAATAAAGTCATCTGGAATGAAGAAGAAAGCCTTCCTGCAGGACTCCCAGAGTTCATCAAGAGTCTTTGGATTCATCTTCAATGCCTCCTTCTCCATCTTACNCCAGACATGCTCAATCATGTTCATGTCTGGTGACTGGGCTGGCCAATCCTGGAGCATCTTGATCTTCTTTGCTTTCAGGAGCTTTGATGTGGAGGCTGAAGTATGAGGAGCGCTATCCTGCTGGAGAATTGTCCCTCTCCTGTGGTTTGTAATGTAATGGGCAGCACAGATGTCTTGATACCTCAGGCTGTTGATATTGCAGATCTCTCGTACACCCTCATACTGAATGAACCCCAAACCATGATTTCTCCTTCACCAAACTTGACTGATTTCTGTGAGAATCTTGGCTCCATGCGGGTTCCAGTAGGTCTTCTGCAGTATTAGTGATGATTGGGATGCAGTTGAACAGATGATTTCAGAAAAATCCACCTTCTGACACTTTTCCAAATGATCAACTAGAAGTCAAGTTATTAAATGTTGCTCTTACAACTGAGATCCATAACAAAACTTTTGTCAGGTAGTATATGTTTAAATTGATCTTATGTTAATTAATAACTCCTTAATTAATAACTTCTATTCACTAGTTTCTTTTTCAGATTGAAGAGTAAAGAAGATATTTTAAGAAATATTTAAAATTCATTGCCACTGACTTCCATAATAGAAAAAATCTCCAACATTTTTAAAAATATCTTCTTTTGTGTTTTGGAACAAGTGGAATTCAAGTAAATGTCGACAGAATTGCCATTTTTGAGTGATCTGTCTCTTTAAAATACTCGTACAATCTACTATTATTTATATTTAAGTAGCTTAGGCATACATTTCACCCTAATTTACATATATGTGACGAATAAAAAAATGAAATAAAATATATAAAAATAATACTGAATCAATAACTCTAAAATATCGAGAAACAGACGTATAGCACACCTTATCCAGAGAACACATGGCGAAGACGGGGCCGTCGTGAGCTTTGATACTCTTCATGAGTGTCGTGTCCTTCCAGATGTAAACATCACCTGTAGTCGCTCCAGAAAACACCAGATCTTCAGATCGGCCGTAACAGGCGGACATCATAGTCTCCTGCTTACCCAGATTCCCAAAAATACCCCTCCGAAACGTTAAACCTCCTCCTGCGTTCACAAATATACAAAACAGTCCCGTCAAGTTTAACTACATGTGATAAATACAGCTGAACAAAATCTCATATTGACATGCTAATTAAATATAAATATAAATATATATATATAAATATAAATATAATATAAATACAAAAATAAATATAATATAAATTCAATATAAATATAAATATAATATAAATACAAAATAAATATAATATAAATTCAATATAAATATAAATATAATATAAATACAAATATAAAATAAATATAAATATAAATACAAATATAAAAATAAATATAATATAAATATAAATATAAATATAATATGAATATAAATACAAATATAATATAAATAAAAATACAATCATAAATATAATATAAATACAAATATAAATAAAATATAAATATAAAATACATATA